CTGCCGGCCCAGCCTAACTCTGCGGATGTTTTCGGTGTTCCCCCAGGAACGCTCTCCCTGCTTTTAAAATGTGTTTTTCATCCAGGCAGGGGACAGAAGCGATGCTCTGCAGTAGGTGGATGTTACCAACAGGCACCACGGGAAGTGAAATGTGCGTAGGCAAGGGAGGGGGTCCAAAGCTGCCAAAAATGCATCCCCCTACCCCTCCCTCCTGCCCCGAACGGTCCCAAAGGGCAGGCTTTCGGAAAGCAGGCAGCCTTCGGTGAAAACATGCCCGACAACAAATTGTTCGGTGAAATTTAAGAGCAAGTGCAAGAACAGAGTGGGCATGGAGGGTCCAGGAGCCGGGAGGACCCTCTCCTGATTGCCTCATCCCTGGACATGAATGGTTGTTTCCAAGTCTCAGCATCCAGGACCTCAAAGTGCTACCTGGAAGTTCAAGGTGGGGGAGAGGCTGGAGGCATGGCGATAAGGACAATTCTTGCCAAATTCTTGCCATTTCCCTCCTCCTGTATTGGCAGGATCAAGTGGAAGGATGTGCTCGCAGCTCGGCCCAGATCCTCCTCCAGGCGCTCGCCTGCTGCCGCTTGGGGTATTTCCTACACCTCAGAGCACCAAACTCAAACCCTTATCTCAGCCCTGCATCCCAACGATGCGCTGTGCCCTCAACACAGCCTGCCCGGTCCCTCAGCCTCCGAGTGATCCAGACGAGGCAAGAGGCAAATGGGAGATGGGCACACTTGCAGGGAGTATTTTGTTGCATAAACACTGCCACACAGACCCCCTACCTTAGCTTAATGAGGCCCCCACTCTGCTCAGATGCTGTAACCCTAAAAAGGAGAATGCCTGCTGCTGCTACCTATCCCCTCTAACATCTCGGAGCAGGTCAGCAGCGCCCAAAAGTCAAAAAGGGAATATGAGTTACTGGCTTGCTCTTACTGGTAGTTCAACCCCACACCCAGCATGGTTCAAAGGAAGCCTCCAAAAGACATTGAGGGACTTTGAATCTGAGCCCTCCTCTGTGCCTGATTATAACTATTGGGGATCAAAGCCAAGGCCCAAAAAGAGCTGGAAGCACAGTCTAGTGAAAGTGCTTAGAGGTAAGCCCATGTTAATCAGTAGCTACTCAAATGTATGATAAAAGGAAATAGAAACCATTCTCCAGGTGGTGCTTCTGGATTCAGGCTTTTGGAAGAAAATGAAGACTTTGCTGTGGATGGAAACTTGGAAGAATGACACAAGAGCTTTGCCTAAGTGATCCGCAAGAGGTTTGTGATAGACAAGGCCATGCAGGAGGTGTGGAGTCATGTGGAACCTTTCCTTGCCCTGGAAACCCACCTGAACTGCCGGGAGGATGGTGCTGCCACAGATTTCCATTAGGACACGGTCCCCTGTGAGGGCAGAGTGGTGATCCATCTCAATATGCTGTGGGCCGGAGGGACAGTATTAGCCCTGGGAGCTGCTGCTGGGCTGAGTAAGGGAGTCAATGTTCGTGAAAACACTTTTTCCAGTGCTGAGGCATTAGCCTGTTTGTACGGTCACCACGTTTCTGGGCTCGAGGAGTCTGCGCACATGGTCAACATCTGTGTCCAGGTTAACGCAGAGACCCACACCTTTAGCCCAGATACCAAGGCCTGACTCTTTGCACAAGGCAGCTATGCACAGCAGGGTCTACCTGTGGCTCACAGGAGCTCACATCATGCTCAAGTTGTCAGAGCTTAAACTAAGCACTCGCAAGAGATTTCCACAGACCTCATAGCCATGCCATCCCACGTTCCTGCTGTTATTGCTGGTGTGGACAAGCTCCTCCAGTGATGAGTAGTGCTGTGAGCAGGCATGGAGAGCCCCAGAATACCCTTGCCTTTGATAATTTCTCTGGAGAGCTGCAGTTTCCTCGAGGGTAGCGTCGGCTACTCCACTGCCTGAGATTTCTCAGCTGAGATTTCTCATCTGTCCTTTACCACGTCTGAGTGGCATAAATGACAGGCATCTACTTTTGCATGATCATCCAAGATGGACAAGAAGATGAATGCTCAGTTAACGCTGTGGACACAGAAACCCAGGGGCAAAAGGGCGCAGTCAAAGGAATACCATCTGCAGCTTCAGCAATGGGACAGAACAGGCTGGTTAGGGGACTTGCTTGTACTCTTGGGACTCTCATGGGATATAGAAAGCAGAACCTTATAAATATAATGAGATTTATGGGGTTATACATATATACATTCTTTTGTATATGCATAATGTCCTGGCCAGAAAAGGCTGCAATACCACCAGGGCTGTCCTCAGTTGAGGGCTTGCCCTGACCTGTCAGAGACTCTCTACTCCTAAGTGCAGTGTCATTCCTGAGATTAGTGCTGCATTCCCACTGGGTCGGTGCCTACCTCAAGATAAGAGTGATCCTCCAGGTCCACGGTCCCAGCTCTGGGGACCAGTGAGGCCCAGAGGCCTGACACCTGGGAAGGAGAGGAGCCAGGGGTGGTTCTCAGTCTCCTGCTCCAGTGAGAAGGGCATGATGGACACCTGACATTTGGCGGATACTTCTTATCCTGCAGGACCTCAGGAAACCTGTTCACACAAGAACCCCCACCTTGGTGGCTCAAATACACAAATACTGCTCTCCAAGGCGGTCAGTGACAGCTATTTCCTGGCATGCAGCAACTTGACAGAGTTGTTTAGACAGCAAGTATATATATTACAGCCCTATGTAAGAATGTTTGGAGAAACCAGCTTAATTACTAACTCAGGAATTTGTTCACCACCCTCACACTAATACCTTTATTCTTCTAAAATAGCCAGTAGA